AGGATAGGATAGGATAGGATAGGATAGGATAGGATAGGATAGGATAGAAAGCTGATGTCAGCAGAGTTATAAACGATGCACAGACTTACCAGCTTTTTAAGTATTATGTGTTAATTTTTTAATCCTGGGAGAGTAAGACATGTCTAGAGGAAACAAATAATACACTAGTGTATAACAGTAATGTTATCAATATTGTTATCAATAGTTATTTCTATAATGAATAATTGTCCACATTCTCTTCTCACAAAAAGCCTAATTTCAATTCAGCTGAAATAATCATGAGTTGGCATCAGTACCAGGTGAAATGAAACATGATGCAGAAAATTTTAGCATGAACATCATTGCTAAGTAAGTGTTCACGTATTGGTCAGAAGCAAAGACAACCAGCCAAAAGGCATCCAGTGAGAAACAGTTCTGAAAAATCTCTAAGAACATTGGAGGGAGATTTCTGTAAATAACCCATTTTTATAGGTTTTTGACTGAGCTATTTTAATAAGTGAATTCACTCAGTTTTTCATATTTAGTTTACATCTTATTCTCAAAATTTTCCACAGCAAACCTCTGAATTGGGTCTAAATATAGTATAATCCATTTTGAGGACCATGAAACCAGCACAGCAGTTTACATTTCTCTTGCCTAAGATTTAGCATTGTTAAAGCAATATACCTTCAGCTAAAACATTTAACAGTAATAGAATAATAGAATCACCAAGGTTGGGAAAGACCTCCAAGATCATTCAGTCCAACCATTCACTTACCACCAATGCTTCCCCAGTAAAACATGCCTCTTAATACAACACCTAGAAGTTTCTTGAACACCTCTGGGAATGGTGACTCAACCACATCCATCCTCCGGGCAGATGAGCACTGCCTGCCAACTTGGTGTCATCTCCAAACTTACCGAGGGTGAACTTTAATTCATTTTTTGACCTTACCTTTGCTGCTAGTACACTGACAAATGGATTTGCTCTTTCCCAGGTGTTGTGCACACAGCGGCTACAAATGAATATGTATTTCATGATCCATTTTTAAAAGAAATTCTAGCAGATCTAGTGGTTGGCAACTGAGTCCACGGAGGTTACAAATGAATGGTCCCTTCCAACCTATGCCAGTCTATAATTCTGTGTGTTTCTTTAAATCATACAATCACATGTGTTACTTCTAATACATTTTATTTTCCCTGTGCACAAGAAGATGCCACAATGTTGTTCTTAAAAACTTTTTATCTCCTTTGGAAAAAAAGTTTTGAGTTTAAAATCTTAATTATGCCGTTAAATGCATGCCTGTAATACCAAGTCACTTCGGACTGAGGATAGCATAAATATGCCTTAAAAATTATGATGCAACTCTTTTCTTCTATTTATGGTAGCTGTCTACTGAACCCAATGGAAGTTGATGTCACTTTCAGATAAATGTTATTTTTTTAGGGGGGAACGTGAAACTGTAAAATCCCAAAGTAAAGCTCAAATAATGACCTTGCTTGTCAGGAAGGAGGTTTTCACTACAACCCTGCAAATACAAGTATTAATTTTTCTTTTTTTTTCATGCCCCAAAGAACGTGGACATACTGAAACATACTAGAGCATGTATGCATGTGGACAGAAAATGCTCATTCACGAGGACTCTTTCCCTTCTTAGAAATAGGAGTCTGGAACTTTGGGCCAAGATCACAGGGGCAAATAGAAAACATAACAGCGTACTACTGGACAGAAGACCCACACTATTCTTACGAGGCACTTGCTACTTCCAGGCTGAATTGGAAGCACTTTTCCTGGAAATCTCTGCACTCATATAGGTGATATGTACTGATGATTTTTTACACAGCCCAGTGCTTGGAAATCTGCTGCTGCTTTCGGAAAAGATAACAGTCATTTACAAATTAGGCAAATAAACAAAAGGAACCCCATAAAAATGTCTGAAAACCGTACTTTTTGGTAATAAGGAATATCTTGTTTTAAACATACGAGTTCTCAGTGTTATTTCTCAAGGCAGTATCAGGTTTTCAGATGATCCAGGGTGTGTTTGCCTCGTGTTCTGCCAGCGCATTTTTCACCATCGTGTTGAGGCTGCTGCTTCTGCCCCCAAGTGGTAAAAACCACCAGCAAATGACGAGTGAAATCTTTGATTTTCTAACAGCATACCACATTTCATGTGAAAACAAAGCAGCAGGTGGTTAGAAGTTACCATATATGGCTACTCCATGACATGAATTTTTCCAGTTGTTCTACACTGAGAATGTCCTGTTTTCCTTTTCCCAATTCTTTTGTAATATTAGCAACAAAGCAACCCTCTAAAAGAAATTCAGCCAATAGCAAATGTCTCTTAGACTGCCAGAGCAATTACACTGGTATTTTAAAATGTTTATTTATTTATGCTGCGTATCTGCACA